ATACCATATCGTATGCTCCAGCCACATCTAGGAGTAGCATGCTCGCTATCTTACCTTCTCCCCATGCTTGGTATACTCTCCCTAAGATCAACTGGATCGCGTGGTCGACAGACACCCCCTTTCGTCCCCCAAGGTGTGTCTTTGGGAGCAGATTATGTTCCTCCGCACACCATGCGATTCGTGTGGCAACAATCGCTTCGAGGATCTTGCCGAGTGTGTTTAACAATGCGACGGGCCTATATGATTTTGGGACTCGGTAGTCTCGTGGGCCGGCTTTTCGTAGTGTCACTGTGACGGAGGTTTGAAAGTGCTGGGGGTTGTGTCCAATTCGGACACACGCGTCGAAGATGGTAGTGAGAAGTGGAACAAATCTCTTCTCTGATCGTGAGCCTGGCTCCGCTAGCACCCGCCATAACTTGTTCGGCAGCGTATCGTACCCAGGTGCTTTGTTCGGTGGCGCCTTCTTGATTGCAGCTCTCACTTCGGTGACGTTTACCGGTGGTAGTTGGAACTGCTCTCGATGGTAGGCGTGGCCTTGTTGTTGTTGTCTTTGGTTGACATATATGTCGGAGAGGTCGGCTTCTGGTGGTTGCGGGAAGAACACTTTACGGAGTAGATTGACTTTCTCCGCGTCTGTCTCTGCAACCCCTCCTTCAGCTTTCTTTAACGCCGGCATCGCGCTTCCTTGCTGTTGTTGGCCTCGGTTCCTAGCCCATTTGGCCACCCTCCATAGCCCCTGGGGGCCCTGCTCCACGGCTTCTTCAATGAAACTCCGGAAGCCCCGCCGGAGAGCGGTCTTGATGACCTTCCCCTTTTGATTCCTAGCCAGTTTATATGTCTCCCAGTCCTCCTCGCTATGTGTCGCAAGGTATTGACGGAATATGCGGCGAGAGTGTTTGACAGCCTCCCCGCACTCCTTGGTCCAGGATGGGTTCGCATGCGGGCTTGGTTTGGCCCATGGTGTCGATTCCTGTACACCTCGCTGAACGATTTCGATCAGGTGGTTCACTGCATCGTCGATTTTTCGGGGGGTCGACAGCCGTGGTGGTTCGTCGATTCGTTGGGGGGTTGTTAATTGCGGTAGCATTGGGAGATTGTCGGCCACAAAGATGTCGAATTTCTCGGTATCCATGGCCTTCCAGAGCCGTCTCTTCACCTCGACAGTCGGTTCGGTGTCAATGTCGAGTAGTACACGGATCGGTAGATGATCTGAGTCTGCATGGCAGTCTAGGGCCAGTTCGCATACCACTAGTCTCTCGGTGAGGTCCGGTGTACCGAAGAACAGGTCGATTGTCGTTTGTTCTCCGTTCTGGTCCCTAGTAATCGTACCGGGTTCCAGCCATAGGTCAAGGTCCGCTTCGTCACAGAGCTCAATAAGCCTGTCAGCACCTATATCCTGCGTGGCCTCAATGCCTCCCCAGGCAGGGTGGTGGAGGTTGAAATCCCCTACAATCATAGTATACTGACTGCTCCTCCGCCGTTGGTTGCCCCCTAGCAGTTCGCTGAGAAGCTCCACTGTATCGGTGGTGCCGCATTCATTATATATGTTGAAGAGGCAGACCTCGCCAATTCCCGTTTGAATTCTCACTTCCTGGCAGAACTCGCTGTGTGCGTAGTGCGTCCAGTTGGTACCGATTCTCTTTGAAATATATATACACACCCGTGCTCTGCTTCCCGTCTCTGAACTAGACGGGAAGAGAAGCTCGTGTGTCTGTTTCAATGGGTGGTATGTCGTGTCATTGTATGGGTTCTCCCATGGTTCTTGCACTACAATGATATCCGCCTTCGCGACTTGCGGCTTCGCCAGGAAGTCCGCCATGACGACATCTCGCGAGCGGTGCGTGTTGTATTGGATGATGGTTAAGGGTGTATTATTCATTAAAAGTGGGGTGTTCTTCGGTATGCTTCTTGGTGAATTGGCGCGTTCTTCTCTCTTCCTGCATGCCGGCTCTATTGGTGAACTTCACCGAGGGAGCTGACATTGTGAGGTTGACCTGGTCGTCGAGGGTGCGTTTATTCTTACCCCGTGGGCCCGGTGTATGTGTTGCCATGTTGGTTTTGAAGATGGTGGCGTTCTCTTTGCCGGCAGCCCTATGCTTGCTAGCTGGTCGACGTGCGTTCCCGCTGGTAAGGGATAGTACCGATGGCTGGTATTCACTAGCCGATGCGGCCGGTGCCGATGACGATGGCGTACCTGGCATTACTGCTTCTTGGTCTTCGAGAATATATGCCTCATCCCTAGGTCGTTTCGATGTGTTGAGCATTGTCCTAATGAGGCCCTTGCTCCTGGTCGTCGTTGACGATGATGTCGACGCCCGGCTAGGTGCTCTGCGCCTTGGAGGTTCAGAGCGTGTCTCTACCGGTGTGTGGATTGATCGATCGACTCCCCTTGCCGGCCTTTGTGCCGACTGGCGGATCGACTCTCCAATTGCACTTGCCTCAGTGCTGTCAACTGTGAAGGTAGGCAGTATGTCCTCTGGCTGGGGTTCCTGGGTCCTCTGCATATCGGTATCCTCCGGTGATGTTGGCCCTTCGTTACTACTCGCCGGTTGGCCTGTGCTTGGTGTTTTATTCGATGTCTTTGATAGGCTTTGTCTTCCATTTCTGGAGCTTTCCTTGGTGGAACTCCAGGAGCCGCTACCTCCTGAACTCCCGGGTCCCACTGTTGTGGCTGCCGGCGTCCTTTCGGCAGCCATCGAGAGGTATGCCGGCACCCGGTGGTGCCGCTCCCTCGCCTGCGCAAGAACCTGCACCCTCTCGATCTCTCTGATGAAATCGGGGCACCGTTTCGACCATCCATTGTGTGCGCCCCCGCAATTGGCGCACTTTCGTTCACTGAGAGTTGCATCCTTTTTACGCTGGCAGTCTCGAGAATGATGCTTCTCAGCGCAAAAGACACACTTTGTTTCGTTGGAACAGGTGTTTCCTATATGGCCGTATTTCTGGCAGTTGTGACATTGGCGTATACGCGCAGCCCGGTCGTACAAGACCGTGGTAAGCACCTCCGAGTCCCAGAGTGTTCCATTATCGATTGCATTGTTGGCGGTATGTGGTGAGTTGAATTCAACGATCAGTGATCCGGATTTCTTGCCTTCTGGGAGGACAAGCCATGACACCTGGGTAATCTCGGCAGTGTCCCCCCAGTTGAACAGGTTCTCAGTAAGCAACTGCTTTATGATACTCTGTTTCCGGCCTTGCTCTCCGAGTCCTACCGCCGAATTGATACCGAGAGACCGTACATTGACATCATGTACAACAACCCCCCAGCTCGGCAAGCGCACTTCCGATCCCTTCCACAGGTGCTTCACCCACGTAGTTCGGTGGCATCGCATGATTTCTGCTTCCTTCGCGGTACGAAGACTGAGCGAGACATCCCCCGACTTCAATTGTCTGGCTGCGACAAACTTGGCTGATGCCACTGTCACTCCATACGTGGCTTTTGCTGCTCTCACACGTGCCCTCTCAGCTAGCTTCGTGATCTCGGCAGGGGTCTGTGTACGGAAGTGTTTAATACCGTCGGAATCACCCAGTTTCACGACGATCTGGCGGTCCTGGATGAGATCGGAAGGCGATGCGGGGTTAGTCGACGTCGACCCATGACTAGATAAAAAGTGCGTCGGTGGTGGCGCGCTTTTGACAGCGTCGACATACGATCGGATCCGATTTGATCCATTGACATTGGCATTAACATTCGAAGAAGCAATTCTCACCGCATGAATGTCTTGTTTAATTTGGCTGGTCTCCTGGCGCAGCTGTTCAAATTGCTGCTTCCAGTCCTGGCCAATTGGGTTCTTAATCAGGTCTGTGGTGAGTTCCTGGATGGATTTGAGATAGTCTAATACTGGTCTCGGGACTTTAACAGAGTTGTTACTGCTGATATGATTCAGCAACTGGCGTACGTCGTAGTTGGCATCCAATATGCGCTCGTTGATGTTGGCTGCAGAATTTTCGCGGCCCCCTGAAAGGGGCGGCCACTGGCTCCCTGGCGCCACCATACCTTCCACCAATATATAATTGGTATCAGGAGATGGAGCCGGAAGTTACAATTAACTTGCAATTAAAATGAGGACCGTAGCCCGCGGCGTTGTGGTGCAATTTCAAAAATTAGATTCGCGCAAAGATATGTGTTTTTCTATTCATTGTCGTCACAAGTGAAGGAAGTTCAATGTTTCCTCAAAGAACATGGCCATCAACGTTGAAAAAAAAAAAAAAACGTCTCCATGACTTCGACAACAATGCGAACGTCAGAACAGCCCAAGGCCTTTCACGCTTCTGAAAAGATCCGATAGGAGCATACACTCTCGAGTCTATCTGACCATGTGTTCAACCCCACTAACAGTGTTTTCTTCCCCTAACAACTCTCGATCTACATCTCTCTCTGCATCTTCATGGATCCTTAATTTCGTCTTCATTATCACCTTTCATCATCTCCGTCTCAACAAATCTCACCTTTCCTTGGGGGCCAACCGTCTCAACAGTGATTTACAACTTCACTTCCAGCGTAGTCAACAACATTGACTACCCCACCCTCCCTTCTTCGTCGTCAAACATCGACAAACAACATACACATATCTAGTCAACATGACTGAACTACGGGGTGCCGCCGAGCCGAAGCTTATCGACTTGGTTCCCAGTCTCAAAGGGAATCTAACTAGGAACTGTGGAAGAATCTGACATACTGGGACCTGCTTACCGGCACTGAAAAGCCTTCTCGATCTCACCGCTATCGCAGCTGTTACTGAAGATGAGACTAAGGTTATTGAGGAAGCCGCACCGGCACCAAATCCAGGTGCACCAACTCCAGATGCACCCCCATTAATGCTGCAGTCAAAGCAGGCTCCAAACTTTCGAAATAACTGGGACCAACGCAATGCAACTGTTCCTATCTATGTTGCTTCTACACTTGACAAAAGCCATCGAGTTCAAGCAAGAGCACCTTCCGAACAAACAACAAGACGCATAACATTCAACTCAGCATTCATGTCTCCACCGCTGACTTTATGAAGCAAGTCCGTTTGCTCCACTTGCAGAAGCAGGTGGCACCCAAGGTTGCGCCTGCTGGACCTCTTCGTCGGATCGTTTTCGGAAATCTTCCCGAGTGGGCAAACATATCCAGCGTCCTGCAGCTCGTCTACAGTGGTGCTAGCGAACGCGCTTGGAGCGAGAGTGGCGAAGTCATCATGCACTTTGTTGAACAAGATGACTGCATTAAATACTATGAGAACCGCTCCGAAGACATCAAGCTAAAGGATGGTGACGACGAACTCACCATTTCTGTTACTATGCCCGAAGAGGGCCTGCAGGATAATGCCGAGCTTCCGAAGCGTGTCGAAGAGGGTGAGATCCAACGCGCTTAGAGCGAGAATGGTGAAGTCATCGTGCATTTTGTTGAGCAAGATGACTGTGTTAAATACTATGAGAACCACTCTAACGGAATCAAATTTCGTCCTAGGACCTAGATAGATGTGTCAAATTCATAGCTTGTAACTTAACTTCTTCAACCACTCAATACATATCACATTCCACATGCACTTCGACAAAGTCCTCTCCTTACAGGTTATAAGCCCGGAAGCTCACTACGCTCCACAGGCCTCTCCATCGACGCCATCTCCGTACTCCAAGCGCCTCTCTCCTTGAAGCCCCCTCAGCATCGCCATCCTCGGTATCACCATACTCGGTATCACCATCGTCACCAGCGCCTCTCTTGATGACGTGCTCACCATCCAGGCCACCTACAATCACCTACAAACGGTTCCACCTATGCAGTTCCAACACTAGCAAACGTTGTCAACAAACATACTCCTCTCTTTCGACGATCACCCTCACAGTACCTCTCCTTTGTCATACAACACCACATCGTACATCCTCCATCATCTTTCAACATGTTTTCGACAACCAGCGTCGCGGAGACAAAGCTCTCGGAGCTCGTACCTACCCTCGCCAGCGAATCCAACTTCGACTTATAGTGGACTGTACTCAAGTGCGCTCTCGACACCCGGGACCCTCATCTCTTCGAGATTCTCACCGGCCACGCGGCCCAGCCCACTCCCAAGGACACCTTCCTAAGTGGACTCTTAAGTACACTAATGTCAACGCCACTACTCCACAAACAGTTCGTTATCAAGTGGCGCACCGCCTACACCGAATTCGCCGAGGTGTGCGATTCTCACATTTCAAATACGACTTAATACTTCCTCTTTCTTATCGCCGTTACCGTGAATCCCGCTACTCATCAACAGCTCAACAGCCTTTATCCTTCGACCACCGATTCTTCTGAGTACATTCTTATTAGCATCTTCTCCGACTTCATCATCTCTAAGAATCGACGTCTCGCTAGTCACCCCAATTTCACTACCCATCCCGTCTTTTACAACGCCAATTCGACTTACAACAACAAGTCCGGCAACGCTCCCACAAACTCGAAGCAATTCTACACTTTCCACCAGTGTAAAACACTGTACACTTCAGAGCTATACCATCTCAACACCGCTAACGCCAACTTCAAGTCAGCTAACGCGATCAACCTTCCGGCTATCAACGATCTGGCTCCCACTACAGCCAATGCCGTCACCGGTGACCCTATACCACGTTACAACAACCTTTTAGCAACCAAGTTTCAACAACCAACATTCGAAAACAAGGTTCACAATTCGTGGGGAGACTTCAGCTCCATGGTTCCATGTTCCTGGGTGGTTTCAAATTCATAGCTTGTAACTTAACTTCTACAACCACTCAATGCATATCACATTCCACATGCACTTCGACATAGTCCTCTCCTGACAAGACGTCCTCATCCAGGAAGTCTTTTTATGATATCACGGAATGAGCTTAGTGGTTTTTATACAATTGTAATGGCATATCATGTCTTTCTTATTATAGATCCTATTCTGCCCGTATATATTTGGTAATCATAGGGTAATACTTAGATGAGGCCAATGGCTTGAGGAGAATGGCTTCAATAGCTTGGACAATAGCTTGAGTGCTTGATCAATAGCTTGATCAATGGCTTGAACAATAGCCTGGACAATGGCTTGAACAATAACCTGGACAATAACCTGGACAATAGGTTGGACAATAACCTGGACAATAAATTGGACAATAGATTGAGAGCTTGAGGACAATGGCTTAAGGGAAATAGGTTAAAGGAAGTAGACTGAGGTGTAGTGACCTGGGCATGTGACCCATAGATAAAAATGCCTCCCCCGTGAAAGTAAACAATCTTTCTCTCTCTCTCTCTCTCTCCCCGCGCAACCACCACAATGTCTTCCAGACTTACACGCAATCGCAAGGAAGACGGCGAGAGGAGGAGAAGAGAAGCTGATGATGAAGCTGTAAGTCAAGATCTTCTATATCTCTACCTGGTCTGTCTCATGCATCCAATGATGGCATGGATCATCCACTTCACGATGGGTTTCATCACGTCTCATCATGTCTCATCACGTCTCATCATGTCTCATCACGTCTCATCATGTCTCATCACGTCTCATCATGTCTCATCACGTCTCATCATATCTCATCACGTCTCATTATGTCTCATCATGTCTCATCATATCTCATCATGTCTCATCATGTCTCATCATGTCTCATCATATCTCATCACGTCTCATCATGGCTCATCATATCTCACCACGTCTCATCATGTATCCTCACGTCTTATCATGTCTCATCCTGTCTGATCAATTCCCATCGATTCCTATCATGTCTGATTGATTCATATTGATTCCCATCATGTCTGAATGATTCATATGCCTTCGCATTGATTCTATCGAGGCAGTCCGGATCGATAAGTTCTCGTCTATAATATTATGAGCACGCTAACCAAATAAATAGGAAAAGAAGAGACGCGAGGACGACTATCTGGAGTGGATGGTCAAGTTCGGCAAGAAGGTCTTCGAAGAAGGTCGCCGCCGGTCTGCCTCTCCCCGCGACCGCCAAGCTCCCCCGCGAGAGAGGACCCCGCCGCGCCCCCGAGAACCAGAGGCCCGCCGTCCCCCCCGCCGGTCGACAGCTTTCCCGGCCCCCCCCCTCCGTCTCAAGCCCGCCCCCTCACTACCAACAGGCTCCCGGTCGAGGAAACTCCCGGGCTGCTGCCTCCCATCTGCCCCGTCGACAAGATTTCCGGGGCCCATCCCACCAACCCTCCGGCCGACATGATTCCCGCGCGGCCGAGTTGAATCAACGGGACCTGCCTGCCAACACCCCTTCAGGCCCCACCCGCCGTGGACTCGCTACGTCACGGTGGGCAAACCGCCAAGCCCCTCCTCAGGAGGAGGCGAGCCGTGGGCTGGCTCGCTCCGGCAACAACAGCGCCCTTGAGGCCCCGCCCACCAATGCTGATAATGCTCCCGCGGCCAATAACGCCCCCCCGCCAACTCGTCAGGAGACGTAGAGATGGCACAGCTCCCTCCTGGTCCCGACTATCTCCGGGTGCCTCTGCCCGCGTCTTCTTCCCCGGCTCCGGGGGAGTCGCCGCATTGAAAAAAAAAAAAAAAAAAAAAAGATACTATCAAGGACGTGGTCATTTTGTCTATTTGTATATGTATTTGTATATGTATTTTAATTTTTTTTTTTTCAAAATCATATCCCCAAAGGTGCCCTCGGGCTACCGGTTTTCTCACACATGGTCGTGCTTGGAAGATACATCTAGTAGAAACTAAGATGATATATCAACAAAAAGATACTTATTCTATGTCTATACAGAGAAACGATCTGCGCTATAGAAGAATAACCGCAATGCAGGATACTCATCTCACCAACCCCGAATGGCATGATACATCTGACCCCACTTAATCAAAGCTCACCAACCACCCACGATCCTCGCTGACTTTCCCAGATGTTTTACCGTCGTCAACAAGATAGCACTTGTAAGCCTCGCGCAGCAGACTCTCCCGCGCAACCTCACAATCCACCCGAATATCCTCCACCAACGCCTCCAGCGAGACATAATCAAACTCAGGCCGGATATAACCCAGGATCAGCAGGTTGAGTCGCGTTTTATAGAAATCCGGCAAACGATTGAACTTAGTCTGACCCTCCTGCCCCGCAGCGGTGGGCGACGGTTCCGTGAGAGCGGGCATGATATGGATTTCCTGAATTGAGCAATCGCGTCAGTTCGATACTGATACCCCACCAAAATGCGGGTTTCAACATTTGACGGCATTTTCGTCTGGTTTATTATGCATCACATACCACAGATCGCACGGTGTTCTTATAGAAAGGGTTATATCCGATACTCAACACAGCAGGCAAAACCACCGCAGTAGATGTGCTGCCCTCGGATGTCTCATGTTGGTATGTTTTCGGGTCGAGCGCTACGACGCCGTAGTAGACGCCGCTTGTCAGCTCTGGGTGCTTCTCGGACAGGTCATCGGCGGGGATGTTGGCGGTGGGGATTCCGAGCTGTAATCATCCGGGAGATTGAGTCAGCGGTAAGTTTATTGTGCCCGTTGCGCTGCGCGATTATGGCAACGAGGTTGGGGTTGCAAGATTCATAGACGTACATCTTTGCTCCCGCGGCCAAATCCCTTGATTACTGGCCCTGACAGTCGTATGGGGTAAGGAGCTTTCGGTGCGTCCGGGTCGCACGGCTTGTCGGATCGCATGGCGGATTCTGTAGGGTGAGGGTATGGTAAAGCGTAGATAGTAGCACAGACTGATCTGCTAATAGTGTTGTTTCGTTTGGTGTGTACTGATTGTGTGATTTAACATTTATTTGGCGTGATGATGCTGGCGTTGAGTGTTTCTGAATACCCGTGGACGACCGGATCAGCCTGGTGGGGGTTATCGCGATAAGGAAAATAATCAGGCGCCTGAGGCATCAGACATCAATCCACATGCAATTCCAATGGATCGAAGGTTGGATTAAGCTTATTTCTTTGTTTAAATTTAGATCGGATGGTTCAGGGCTCAACGAGGTCAGAAGTGACCCCACTCAATATCATAGCATTATGCTCATACAGTAACCCGTCCCAGAGATATCATTTTTTGTCCTTTTTGAGCGCCGCAAAAAGAAAATGAAACAAGAAAGCATATCGACAATCCTGGAATTAGTTCCAAGGATCCAAGAAACATAACGTATATACGAGAACATAGAACAAGAAAAGACACCGTCGGCGAGTGGCCCGAAAGAAATCAACATCAAAGGGAATCATACAATCCCAGAACCAGGAAATATTTACCAGGTAGAATAGCAGAAGAAAATAAGACAAGCCTGATGTTAGGCCTTGCCGAGGGTATGAAAGGGTAATCTGAAACAAGAGCAGGAAACAAAATCAAATACATGGCAAAAACTAAAAGATGGCGGGTTAGCATGAGAACCAACTATGACAGGTTGCGTGAGTGAGAGAGACTTACATTCATCACAATGAGCATCGGGATATCGAACACATCGCGTTTCACTGTCCAGCAGTACGCGCATTCGACCTTTCCGTCCTTGAAACCGAGCTGATTCATGCCAGCCTCGCCAGCAATGCCACCCTTGCGGAGGTGGTTGTTCCACTTTCCGTTATCATCTGACTGTGCAACCTCCATATCCTCCTTGGTCTTATATTTGAGCAGCTTGCACCGAGTCATGACACTACCACGAGAATCGCCAAACGCCAGACGCGCAAAGTCCTCGTAGAACTCTACGACGCTGTCATCGTCGAGGAGCTCGGCCAAGAATACCGGTTGGGGGCGTCCAGTGCTGGAATTCTCCAATGTTGAGCCACGCGGTGTGAAACTACCGCGTGACGTTGTCCCGGACTGGGGTACGCCCGAACCACCGGTGTTGACGTTGAGGTTTGCCTCTTTTCCTAGAAGCACGTCTTTCTTCCATCCGGTTAGGATGCTGAACTCCTTGCCAACGGCAGCGATCTCGCCGGTGCGACGGCAGACAATGGTCGGCGTTCCACATGCATTGATGAAATCCTCGTACTCCCAGAGAGTTCGCTGGAAGCATTTCTCCATGAAGATGAGATCATCGCGATTAAGGGTCTTAGTAGTTGCGATAAAAGAGGGTCGAATAGACGCAAGCGCCTTGGCAATTCGCACGGTCTTCTGTGGCGTAAAGCGACGTTGAATGAAAGCAGTGAGGTTATGGAAGCCACTTGTGTAAGCATAGGGCTCCTTCACGCTTTCGTATATTGAAGAAGGATTGCGGTGGCGCCGTTTAGAACCAGTCTGCAGATTTGGGTGCTTCAAGATCGATGCTGACGTCACCTGGCGTTGTCCATTCGGCACCAGGCTGTTGGACTTTGGAGCAGGAGCGATATTGTTGAATGGGCCGTCGTCAAATGCAGCCGTTGCAATGTTCGGGCTTTGGGCCGAGCCAGGACTAGTGAAGCTTGCTGGCCCACTTTCGATCGCAAATGCATGTGGTGCGTTTGCTTTCATGTGTTCGGGGAGCAGGGCATTTTGGCCATACACACCGCTGACATTCACATGCTGGCCCGAGGCCGGTCCGGCCGGCCATTCATTCAGGAGAGGATCGCCGAACATGAAAGGTTGATTCCCCGGGCTTTCTCCAAAACCAGGAGCTGGTGTGGAGAACTGGGCTGATCCACTGCGGCCGATCGACCCTCGCTGTCCTGCGGAATCAGGAGAGTCACCGGCCGCCCCAGTGGCCATGTGCCCAAGCATGCCGAATTCCAAAGCACCATATCGATTTTCGAAGTTCATGCTCGATAGATCGAAGTTGAAGAGCGCTGGATCACTGGGATCAAAAAATGGCCCTGCAAAAGGATTTTGGGACTGACTTGTATCCCCAGAGAGGGCAGCCCCAGAGAGGGCAGTACTTGGGGTAGGCTGCTGGTTCACAGCCGATGAAAGACTCGGATTCCGACCATTGGTGCTGCTCTTCATATTGAAAGTAGGCGAAACGGGTGATTGCGTGGTAAAAGGGCTTTGGCTCATGGAGGATTCCTGGTAGGGATTGTAAGATGATCCTGTCTGCGTCTGGGGCGTAGGGTAAAAGGTGTTATTCGCAGGATTGGTTGGTTGTTGGTTATGTTGATGGCTGTGTTGTTGACTATGTTGTTGGTTGTGTTGCTGGGCGGAGGTGACAGCATTTGCGCCATTTCTAGATATAGGCAGATTATTGCGGAGCGTGTTGTTGTATAGATTGGTGCTGTTGCTGCTACTAACAGCTGGCATCAACGCCCCGTCGGGAGCATCATGGAGATACTTGGCCTTTTTGCGAACACCATCATGGCACGCATCTTGAAGTCCACGTTTGATGCAACGTTGACACGGTCGTTCGTCGCCTAAAACCCGATATACATTAGTCAGATATCTAAAGTGCGGGGATCAATTCATCATCATACCGCAAGTCAAATGAGCTCGTTGGCATGCAAAGCAAGCTCGCCGAGCCTTCTTCCGTCGCGGTCGGGAAGGATCCTTGGCATTAGCTGCTTTGCGTTCCGCCTTGCTATCGCCATTAGTTTTGGGCTTTGCGTCCATTTGTTCGTGCTCGGTGATATCGGCGGAGTCACGATCCCCACTGTAGTCCCCTGCAGGAACCGGGGAGCCGTTCTTGGCTTCCATGTTCATTTCGGCATGTATCCCGAGAACGGTGATTTATGGACTCGTCCACAAAAGTGAGGTAAATCGGTGTTTCAAACCCCGTAGGCCACTTTCCGTGCCTTCTCGTGTTGATCTAAAGAAACAAAACGTGGTGGCGACAATACCGATGATACCATGCGCGCTTCGATCTCGGCGGATGAGCGGATCCACGTGCACAAAGATTCAGCCCAGCTTGTGATAAGAGGAAAAAGTAAACGATCGCAAATTGCTAATCGTCCTTATTGAGTCTTGAGATCCACCCAAATCACCTCTCGAAGGTTGGAGGGGTCTCGGGTGCTTGGCTCCTATAATCGCGCGTTTGCGACTACAGTTGGTGGGGAATCGGAACTGGAGTCACGGCGAGTCGAGTCACGGGTGTAACGGGGGACAATCGACTGGAGATGCGACGGATGTACGATGATCTGACACATTGAAGAATTTCAATGTGGTTTGTAGATGGAGAGAAATTGGCGCAAAGCTGACAGAAAAATCGCGCAACGGTTTCGGGGCTGAACTGGGGAGTGGAGAGGTGGACGGCTTCGTACGGTTGCGGGGAAGATGTGAATTTTTCTCCAAATGTGAGAGCCGTGCCGATGTAAGGCCAGTCGAGAAGCCAGAGAAAGAAATAAAGTCGAGCAATGCAAATATTATTCGCGGGGAAGGTAGAAGAAGAAGTGGATGAGACTCAGAAAGGCTCTCGATCGGAGTGTTCCCGTGACTAGTGTCTAAGCAACACTTTAACACGACACAGTCCAATTGTAAAGGACTTCTGAAGGGCTAAATGAGACTTTGAGAGAATTCTTTTTTTAATGTTTTTTTTAATATTTATTTGACAATTTATTTTATAAT